AACAACTAAAATCTCCTGGCAAGGTGACAAAAAGCTGGGTGTACGTGCCAAAACATGTCAAGTGTGTGTTTATAGAACAGCTTCACCGGGATCACTCCGAACGAAGCTTCATGGCTTGGCTGGTTGTTTTTTTGAAAAAAACAGGTGCCCAATTTGTCTACTACTGCAAAAGGAAGATTTAATTAAAACGCAACCAGAAAGCAAACGACAAAAACATGGACACAGTCTGCGTCTGTAAGCTAGGCACCCCTTTTGTACTGCAGGTCGGGGAAGGGTTCATAAGTGGGGCAGCTTTCCCGAAGGTAAACATACTCTCTGTTGGACTACAGCCCAGAAGAACTTTTAAACCCAGAGGCAGAGAGTTTTTGCATTTTTTTAAAAAGGGGGAAATACGTATCTGGCTGGGATTTGTTGGCTCGGGGATTCTAGGTCACGGGTAAGCATCCATCTTCCAGCACTTTGAACACAGCAAAAAAAGCCCAAGCAATTTTAAATGGCTGAGAGTATCACCTCTAGCCTCAAGCAAACCAGGTGCCCATCGTGCACCGAAAGGGAGAGGCGCCCTCCTTAACCTTGCATTTCAATGAGTCTCAGACTTCGTTCTCAACACTAAATGACATGCGAGGCCTAGTCATGTATAATTTTTCCTGTGACAGTTCATTCTTTGGCAAAAACGCAACCATAAAGATTGCAACCAAAGAATTCAGAGGTTTTAGTGAAAGCCATTCTTCTTCGTGGCTTTCCATCCCATATACTCTCTCATCTTTCCCCCTATGCTGCACTTTTCCTTTAAGTAAAAGCCTGAAGATTCCCACTCCATCATCACTCTTTGACTGCATCTTCCACAGCTTTCTTCAAAAAAGAAGAAAATATTAGGAACAACATGGATAAACATCCTCTGTTGTTGGCTCTCAAAGACCTGTTTGTCAACTGGTCAGAGTGGAAGTGAGTTAAATTAGATATCAAAGCCTTAAAAATGCAGTACCTTCAGACTGTTTCTGCTTGCATACAGAATGCAATACAGTGGTGCCTTGCTTAACGAGTGCTTTGTTTAACGACAAATTCGCTTAGCGATGGCTTTTTCGGAGCGATCTTGCGCTCTGTTTAATGATGTTCCCTATGGGCGATTTTCGCATAGCGATGTTTGGGACCATGCTTCACATAGCGATGACAGTATCGCTTAACGATGGTTTTGACAGCCTCATGTTGGCTGTTTTTTATACGTTTAAAAATGTTCAAAAAATGTTTAGAATGCTTGAAATCATAAGTGCACTTAATAAACCCTTTGTTAAAGTAATTTGACTTTGTTCCGACTCTTTTTACATTTGTTGTAATTTTTCCCCCCATTGAGATGTATTGAATAGGTTTCAATGCATTTCAATTGGGGAACCGCGTTTCGCTTAGCGATGTTTCCTATGTCGATTTTCGCTTAAGGAAGGTAATCCATTCCCATTGGAACAGATTATCCGGTTTTCAATGCATTTGTATGGGAAAACGTGTTTCGCTTAGCGATGTTTTCCCATAGCGATGAATTTTTTGGAACCAATTAAAATTGTTAAGCGAGGCACCACTGTATTGCTGTAAGATCTCAGGCACCTCATCTCAGTTTTCATCTTTCAAAAATACATGCTTTAAGCCCTTGGCTGCCCAGGTATGAATGAAAATTTGAGTCTGCCCGGACATCAAAATTGGGGGGGGGGTCTGCTGTGTAAGGTTCCTCAGTGGCCAGAAATGAGGCTCCCAGAGCCCCAGTTAGCTCCACTGTCTCTCCCCAGAATAAATTGTACAAAACAGAATTGTACAAATTCTGTGCACAAAGTAAACTGCAAACTCTGGCTTCATTTATATCATTTACACAAAGCACAGCTTTGGGGTCATTCCTTGGTACACTATTTGATTGGATTAAATGCAGAGTAGACAGAGTCCAGATGACAGCATGGTATTCGTGGATACACAGCAGCCCCTGATCTGGCCACAGTTCCCGTCTTTAGCCACAGTCTCGCTGTGTCTGCCATGCTGTATCCATGCCTGGCTGGGCTAATCAAAGGTAGGCTGTGTGATGAGATCCAGGCATCTTAAAGTACCGCTTCCATAAACTCTAGACAGAACAGCCAACCAT